GCGGGGGGTCGGGCTAGAAGATCTGCCAGGTCCCTTCCGACCCTTAATCTATGAATCTATGAGTCTTTCTAAACTACCCCTTATGACAATGCCACACATTCTTATTTTATACATTTAAAAAGTAGTGAAAATCCTACTTTTTAATAACATTTAATTATAAAAATGTAAACCTATTTTAAATGAATACATTTGGTTCTTGTATACAAAGGAATGAGGCAGCCCCTGGTTAAGCATACTATTCCATTGAACTAAGCAGGATACTTACACACTTGAATTCTTAACTGCTAATTCTTAACAAACCCCCAACTAAGTGAAGTTTCCTCACTACCAAATGTGTGGGGGGAAAAATAACATATAGATGTTGGTAGACAACGTTCTTTGGGTGAATCTGATATCTTTTATTAGACCAACTTAAATAGTTGGAAAATAATTTTTAAGCAAGCTTTCGGGTTCAAAAACCCTTTGTCAAGCTGAGGAAGTTTCAGCAGTTGGTGTGTGCTCTTCCTGGATGAAATGAAAAGTAAAGAAGCCAGAGGCTGGACTGGTATGCACACCAACTGCTGAAACTTCCTCAGCTTGACAAAGGGTTTTTGAACCCGAAAGCTTGCTTAAAAATTATTTTCCAACTATTTAAGTTGGTCTAATAAAAGATATCAGATTCACCCAAAGAACCTTGTCTACCTATATCCTTAGACCAACACGGCTGCAACCTGCACCCCTGTAACATACAGATGTTGTAACTCGTTTTTAACTTTTATTGTAATATCTTATCAGAGCTTCATATTATAAATATAGTAAAGCTTAAGGATTAGGCCGTTCTAATTTTCTAATAATAGTACAAGTTTGAGAAACTTGCATTGGATCAGGATGCAGCCAGGCATCCAGGGTACGGGGCAGTGGTGACTTCTGGTTGCTTCTGCGATCTCAACTGCCAGCAGCAGCCACTTGATTTTGCCTCCCTCTGCCCCTTCCTCCCAGTCCCCTCCCCTGAGGTTGTTGCTCTGCTGTAGTTATGCTACTGGAAATTTAATGTCATGTAATTATAAGTTTTTCAGGGTAATAGCATTACTTCTGCATCATGGACAGATTCACAAATCACAGACCACCACATAAATATATCAGTATAGTATCTATGTAGGATTCTGGTTTAGTTGGGATGGGCGTGTCTACATGTACATTAATGCACCTTTGCTACTGTGCATTAAGTTTAGTACCTCTAATATGAAATACTACATGGATGTGCAGTAGCAGAGTTACATGGTCTTTTTGTGATGCTTGATGCGTAGTAGAGTAGTTCTACTGCGTATTAGCACAGTTTTTGCCTTGACATGCTAATACACAATAGAATTAGTCTATTGCTCATTAAGCATCTCATCTGGACATATCTGGTAAGCTGTATTGTATCCTTTTTCTTCCTGCAATGTAATTTAGTGTCTAAAATTTTTTTTAACTTTTTAGAGTGCAGTGTAACTCCAATATCCAGTTTGTCATCCATTTTAAAAGCATTTACTTTTTGCAGGCCAAAGCCGTTGCTGCAGAATCAAATGCAACCTTCTTTAACATAAGTGCTGCAAGCCTAACTTCCAAATATGTAAGTAATGGTTGCTAACTTTGGCCATTTAATAACACTACTACATTAGGATCTCAAATTGAAGGATTTGCAGAGCAAAAATCAGAATGGAATTTTACATGTGAAGGGGGTGCACTGAAGAAAATCCTGTATTGCATTAGCCCAATAACTTCAAGTTAGGCTGTATCATAATGATAAGCCAAAGCTGCAGTCATGTATTTCATACTAACAAGCAAAAGAATCGTGGTTTCAAAAAATCTCTCTGATACTGAACAAATGCCTGCAGTGTTGCAAAGACTTTGAAAATCTAATGACTGACATTTTAAAGAAGCAATGCAAGTTTGGAAGACAATTCCCTTTTGAAGCTCACTGGAATTGAGGCACCTCACTTCATTTATGTGTCTTCAAAGACTTCTGCGAAACCCATTTGTGAAGCTTTTTATTTCTTTCTGTCGGGGAGAAGCATGTCTTCTTCCAGTGATGGATTAGAGCAGGGGTGTGCAATATGTGGTCTGTGGGCTGGATCTGGCCTGCAGCACCCACCAGTTAATTGTACCCTGTTCAGCTCTCTTGCCCACGAGGTTGGGAATGAGGCTCCCACATACACACCCCTGTGCCAACATACCCTGTTGTGCCTCACTTCTAACCTCCTGGGCAGGGGGCAGTGGGCTGCAGCTGGGCCGGAACATGTAGTGTGGGTCTGGTGGCAGCACGCAGCCCATGCCTAGGGGGTGGCAGCAGTGCAGAGCTCAGGTGTGCAAAGTGAGGTGCAGGGGGTGTGTGCAGCCCCCACTGGCAGCAGTGGCAGCAGTAGCAGGTGGAGATGCTCTTGCTCAGCACAGGCACTGCTGCCTGGTGGCACAGGTCTGGCCAGCACTGCACATGGGAGTGAGGATTGCAGCCAGGCTAGCCCATCTGTATCACTGGAGCTCCCTGCCAAGCATGTGCAGCCCTTGCACTCGTGTGCCACAGGAGAGAATCTCCATGCACTGGAGCCAGCTGCCTTTACCGCTTTCTGCTGTGCAGGTCCTGGCACTCCTCAGGGAAGCAGGGACTGGGGCTTCCCTCCACTTCCAGAGGAGTCCCAGGACCTGCACGGCAGGGAGTGGTGAAGGCAACTGGCTCCAGTGGCACGTGACTGCAGGGGCTGCACATGCATGGTGGGGAGACCTGGTGATAGAGGCTGGTGGGCCAGCCGGGCTGTGCTTCTTGGCCCCATGTGCAGCACTGGCTAGAGCTGTGTGCCACCAGGTGGCAGTGCCTGCACTGAGCACAAGCACCCCCATCTGCTGCTGCTGTCACTGTTGCTAGCGGGGGCTGCATGCCATGGGGGGAGCATGGGGGGTTTCTACAGTCCCCATCACCCTCCCTCACACCCCACAAATGACACACACTCACACCCTATCCCCACATCCCCCCATATATATATACCCCCCCACCATACACCCACATACATACCTCCCATGTCCCAACATATACAAACCGCCCCCACGAACCACACCTCCCCTGCACAATATACAAGACTAAGATTTTACTTTTGAGTTATGGAATCATCTGTATATACAGTACGCAAACATAAATCATGACAAGAATATTTTTTTAAATAAAATTAAACTTACGTTGTAGTAGGTATTTGACTTTGTGTGATTTGTGCGGGTTTTTTTCTGGTTCTCAAATGGCAGTGTACTCCCCTCATTTCCACCCCTTCCCCCCAAAGGAGTATTGCCAGGGCACAAGGGGAGGGACTTCTGGTGGCAAAGGTCAGGGGTTGGTCTCAAGATGGTGACCAGGAGGCAGGGCAGTGGTCAAGGGCCAGTGTTCTCTCTACCCATGTGGCCCTCAAAAGCTCACCAAGCCTGGCTAAGCAGCCCTCCAGCCAAAGTAATTGCCCGCCCGTGGATTAGAGACAGTGTGCATGGGTCAGACCAAACTTCATGTTTGTAAGCAGCTTTTTCTATAAGTCATTATCACTAACTCTGGAAAACACTTAACAAATTGTTCTTGTTTAGGTGGGTGAAGGTGAGAAACTTGTGCGCGCGCTGTTTGCCGTAGCCAGGGAACTTCAGCCTTCTATAATTTTTATAGGTAAGATATTGCTGTTTGCTAAGCCTCTGTAATTAAATTTTGAAGGAAAAATTGTTTCTTGAATGTAAGTATTCCTATATTTGGGTGAGGGTCACTGGTTCCAGTAATAATATAATTTATAGCAAGGTAAGCAGATCTGAAGGGCTCAGCAATTAGCTGTTTTCAAAGCAGTATTTCATGTGAGGGGCCTGGTTCATCTGAGCAGGCTTCACTTTCTGTCCTAGTATCCAACTGGTGTGTGAAAGAAACTTAAATAAGGAAACAATTTTCCATAGATAGCTTTACATGCCAAATGTTTTCTACTTGCAGCAGAGCATGTTTATGTGTAACTTGCTGGAAAAAAAGTCTTATTCCATTTGGAGTTACCTGCCACTATTAGAATGCATACCTTGTTCTTGTCAGGTTGCGTCAAAATGGTGATCATGTACCAGTGACATTGGCCACACTATTTGAAGCATGTAGAAATATATTCCTTAATTTCCAAGGTTCTGTCTCTTGAAGAATAAACATCAGAGTTTTATTGGAGCCCCGCACTAACAATGTTTGATTCAAACCTTGATATATATATACACACACACTTGTCTCACTGACATGGCTTAAAACCCTTAACAAAGATTTTTTTTCCCTTCTTTTAGATGAAGTTGATAGCCTTTTATGTGAAAGAAGAGAAGGTGAACATGATGCTAGTAGGCGCCTGAAAACAGAATTTTTAATAGAATTTGATGGTGTAAGTATCTTAAGTACTTGTGTGTTAGCTGAATTTGGTAAGGGTAGTGGGGGCCAGTGGAAATGAGGCACATGGGGCTGAGCACTACCAGTTACATTTCTCACTTTTTCACTGACCAGCAATTTAGATACTTCTCCACTGACCATTTTTCATGTACATATTCTACCTATGACTGTGCATATATGCCTTGAGCTTCAAGACTTACTGCCTTAGTTTAACCATATTTGTAGGATGTTCCGTAGTCATGCACCTCCTCATGCCAAACAAATAAAAGGTAATGAATGCACACATCATATTGACAACATATTATCCATCAATCTTTTTTGCCATCTGCCTGTGCCGCAGATACCCTCTGTTCAGGGCTTCTGCATTTTCTGTTCTTTCTTCTCTTTTGTTGTGATATATGACGGGTCTTCTGTCTTTTCACCTTCTTTAGTCTTCAGGTTGGATTTAGCACTATTTCCTTGCTATCTTTTGCACTTTTGATATTTAGTGCTATAAAGCACTGTCATCTTGGGATGCTTTGTTATATGGATCCTGTCCCTTTGTTTTGAAGGACTAAGACTGTCATTGTTTTTCTTAGTTTAGGGAAGCTATTTATCTCCTTTCCGTGATAGTAGTCTTACCCCAGCCTTCAAGATCTGCCTATCATGTGATTAGGTAGACGAGGTTCTTTGGGTGAATCTGATATATTTTATTAGACCAACTTAAGTAGTTGAGGGGGGAGACGTTTTATTAGCAAGCTTTCAGGTTTACAAACTCTTCATCAGGCTGAGGAAATCTCTGCAGTTGGTGTGTGCTCTTCCTGGATGGAATAAATACTAAAGAAGCCAGAGGCTGGGCTGGTATGCATGCAGGATAGGTAGCCAGTGAAGATGTAATTTGAGGAGTCAGTGGGTGAGAGACAGGCTGGGTGGTGGGGGAGAAGGGGGATGAATGTAGATGTTAAATAGTGGAGAGGTACCTGGAGTTAGGCAGGCTACAATGTGTCATAAATCCAAAGTCTGTATTTAGTCCATGATTTTTAGGATCCAGAAGGTTGATGAAGTGGAGTTCATAGGCTCATCTCTGAGAGAAGTTTTGTAAGTTTCCTTTGAGGATTAGAACTGGGAGATTGGGGAGAGAGTGGTTTTCTTGTGAGAAATGTGCCCCCACAGGTAATTGTCTTTGATAGATTTCTGGTGTGTATTCATTCTGGTGTGCAGTATCATGTGATTATGCATTTTCCACTTCGGATGGTGCCTTTACTATCTCAAACAAACTTTGATCCTAAGTACCTGCTCAGACATGTAGGCCTTTAGGTCTCACATCTGCAGGGAACAAGATAATAGACATAAGATACATTTCCTGAATAGACTAATAGCTCAGTCTCTAATCCGGGAATGAGGTATTCTATCTGGTACTGGAGGTCTTCTGGCAGTAACCCACTGTGCAGTTTCTCCTTTGGCACCTGCAAGGTTGTTATGTCTTGGCATTTCAGGTCCTGCTCCAGAGGAAGAGCATCTACCAGGAATTCTGTACAGAAATGTATTCTTGCTGCCTTGATTTCTCAGGCCCACATGGTTCCTACTGAAGCTTGTTCAGACTTGGTTACTGTACATTTGTCCTTAAGATGTCAGTGCTGGACATCTGTCCTTAAGATTGTGGGAGTCACACAGGCCTGAGAAGAAGTTCATGGAGACTTGCACACTGTCATCTAGAAAGAATGGTAGATGGCAGAGGCCTAAGTGCTCCAGCTCAGCATGTTGGAACAGTTTTGTGGCTCCTGTTGACACTGGCACTTACTTTGCTGACTGGTTGGCTCTGGATGTGAGGGGGACAGGCATCACTGGTCTCCTGCACCATTGCTGTTTCCTCCTCATGGCCTTACCATCCTGTTGAAATTTGTTGCAATCCAGCACCATCCTCTAGCTCAGTCTCTCCTTTACCGTCAGCTAGGCCAGGGTTGTCCAGTTCCTAAGTTCTCCTAGGTAAAAATGCAAATTCATTTTCATTTCATTCTGAAAATGAATTTGCATTTCTACCTAGGAGAACTTTTACAATCTTTGCACTCTCTTATGCCTGAAGAAGGGTGCCTGTACCTGAAAGCTTGCAAATAAAGATTTTTTTTGTGCAAATTTCTAGTTTGTCTAATAAAAGATATCACCTCTGCCATGAGTTCTCACTCGTATTGAGAATATTTGTATGAACACACACGTTGTTCCAGTAACCCTTTTTGCAAATACCCTCTATTTTGTGCCAATCAGCCTGCTGCAATATCATAGCGAGTGGTCTGAGGAGAATAATTGTGGATGGGCTATGGTGTTGCATGGGTGGGGAAAAAATAGTGGGACAATACCCATAGAAGAACTATGGGGCAAACTTGTACTTTGGGCATGAGGAAGAACCCAGTGCTTGCTGAGAGTGAGCTCAACTGTCTCCAGCTGACCAATGTCTGTAGTAATACTAAGTAGAATGGATACCTAGAATCTGGTAAGATGAAAAGGCTTATGCTGTTAAATTGCTTTTCTGCTGTTGGAGGATTTGTGGTGTAATGAGTTTGATTTCACTAAGAGGGAACGTGAGATTTAAGAAAGGATCCTGGTCAACCACTAATTAGGCTTATACCATTTACAGCTGAGCTACTGTAAAGAGGTTTGATATCTATAATAATAAAATATATAGAATAGGTATATACCTTTTTATTATTTTAAGATCGTTCTTTAATTAGAAGTGACAGGATGCAAACGAAGTAAAAATATAGTTTCCTACCAAAATATCAATGGCATGGAAAGAAATGTTTTAAAGATACAATACTGAGATCCACTCAGACACATTTTTGCGCTGTCCTGGTATAATTTTTTAGTACTTTTTATCCTATGAACCATTTTAGGATTTATCTGGGGACAACACATGTGGGCATTTGAACACCTGCACTTTGTCCCAGCATAATATAGTTTATCCTGGGACAAATGTAATATATGTTTGTAGCCTTACTCAGCAGACTGGACAGAGTTAGACCTATAATCTGATGCAGAAGTTCTTGAGCTGCTGTGATTTTGTTCTAGATTTCCTCTTCTGTTTCAAAGTAGTTTCAAGGTTGAGTGGCAGTGAAGCTGGATTTTTTTATTTTTTTATTTTATTTTATTTTTTTTGAAGGAGCAACATTTTTAAATGGTAAACCAATTTTGCCTGGTGGTTTTCTTTGTTTGCTATGGTATTTTTTTAAATGGAGCCTTCCAAGGGTGACCAAATTTTTTAATTCTTTTGTGATACAGTTTTTCAGCACTGTCTTGTCTAATTGGCAGCCTTAGCCATTTCAGGTAAATTTGGGGCTAAGCTGCCTTTGCATCCTACACAGAATCTCTAAGAGTCAAAATATACTCTGTTTTCTAAAACCAAAACTAAAATGGCTTATAGCAGGCCAACATAACATTAATATTCAGGTAGTGCCCTATTTAAGTTGTCTTTATAGATGACTTAATCATTGCTTAGTTGTCAATTTCTAAAGTATCTTGTTTTACAAAATTATAGGTGCAGTCTTCTGGAGAAGACAGAATACTTGTAATGGGGGCAACTAACAGGCCACAAGAGCTTGATGATGCTGTTCTCAGGTACTAGAATTATTCCCATTTTAGCACACATGGTTACAATTCAATTTGAAATACTTCCTTTTATAAACTACACATTTTACTGTTTAAGTATCTTGTTTTTCAAATTGTACTGGACAGATTTGTTAGTGTAGTTTGGTAAGTTGTGGATTTTCTTTAAGTGCTTCAGTCTTCTCTTGGGGATACCTGTGTACTTAGTGCCATGAATCTAAAATAATATAAAACAACAGTATCTTGGATCCAATCCAATATTCTGTCCAAACCCATTCATCGTGCAGTCCTCTTTCGGTTTCTTTAGGCCCAAAGAATGGAGCAGAGAGAAATCTGACATTAGACGCTTTCATAGAAACAACACTAGACTTTTCTTTTGGGTATTGGATGTATGAAATACTCAACAGTTCTGTCATAATCTATCACATTCACACCTTTCTTTGTCTTTGATTGAAGAATACAGTCTTGCTAGTATTGGCTTATCATGAACACTACTTCTCAAGGTTTTTTTTTTTTTTAGAGATTCTGCAGTGGTGGCTAGTGCAAGAAGGTATTAAGAGTGAATGGAACATAATTTTGTTACTTTTGGTTGTAATGGTGTTTCTAACTTGGGTGGAAGGGTCTTCTGAAGAATCTGGCCATGCAGTCATTGGAATCCCTGAGGGAAGCTTATATGTGAATATTTTAAAGCTACAGGCACATTTTTCTTTCTTCCTGTGAGTGTTATAGGGCTTAATCCTTTAAGACAATGGTTGTGCATGACATTTCTATCTTTAAAACTTCTGGATTTGTATCCTAGTATTTAATGTGTATCCTATGCATTGCCATTCTCTTTTATAGTTTTTTATATTGGGTTTGGTAGTGTGGTTCTGTAGTTTGGGAGCCACTCATCAAACCATTTTCCTATAAACTGTATGTTGAAGAAATTTTCCACATAGGCAAAATTTCACTGTAGCTAAAGCAAACTACACTTTTGTGCACCAGAATAACCCTCTAAATATACTTGAGTAGTATGCACACCTTCTCTTATCTAAAGGAATAGCATTAGCCTTGGTTTTTCTGAACAGAAAGAATGTTGATTTGAGTTCGGGCAGTATAACGTTTCCGTGCTTAAATAACAGACAGAGACCTATCTGGGCCTTGCTTTCATATGTCCATTCTTCTGAGAAGAAAGAAGAAACAATAGTGGCATTACTAAAATTATATCTATTGTATGCTACAGTATCTTCTGACTCCAGTTCTATTTTTTTAATGCATCTGCATCTGGATTTGTTTTACCCCAGGACAAATGGTTTCAGATGTGTTACTCCTTCCCTAAGATTTCTTAAGGGGGTTTTTGTTTGATTCCCCCCCCCCCTTAATTGGGCCTCTTCTTGTGCAATAAAACGTTACTGTTTTTCAGACGATTTACCAAACGGGTGTATGTATCTTTACCAAATGAGGAGGTAAGTGCCTTTATGTACATTTCTTTCTCTGAATTTTGAAAACTTTCCTAAATTTTTCAAAGCTGTAGACCATTGCAAACTATTGACTTTTTTTCTTTTATTTAATATTTATTGTGTAGGAGATTTCCCTCCCCATCTCCCTTCAACCTCTCCCAAATATCCTAATTACACTTAGAATGGTTTAAATTCTTGTATTATAGGATTCCTATTCATATCAAATCTGCTAGTAGCTGTTCCCTCCTCCTTGAACAAGTTGCCATCACAAGCAATATGGTTATTTTAAATAACCAAGGGCATGCTTTGATCTGCCCATAATATTTTAGATTTGCAGAACCAGGCTTGTTTGGTTTAAGATGAGATTCTTTAATGTAAAAGATAACTGCTAGAATGAGACTAAGCTAGTTTCTTTCAGCATTAAAAATACCCCTTCCCCCAGCATTATTCATTAGCTTACCAGCAGCAGGAAAAGAAGAATTTCAGGATTCTAGTGCAGTAACCATTATTGTACAGCTGAAACCAGTGGACTTACTGATTTAGTGTGTACTGAGTTCATGTGTCTTTATTTAAGAGGGATAAATATGAACAACATAAATACTACAAGCATAATATATAATATCTGCTTAGTTCACAAAACTATTATTCAGTA